CTTTGTACTTTTTGCTAATTTTTTAAACTTAAAACTGCTGTAAGAATGTTATATTATTCAAAACATGTATGAGGTTCTTTACAACTCTTGATATCCTTTCACTAAAATGTCTTTAATACTGAGAGAGAGAGAGAGAGAGAGAGAGAGAGAGAGAGAGAAGACTTTAATAAAGTACAAAATGAGTGATCAATTCAACTGTTTGTGAACAATAGTATGTTCTAGATTGCCCCTGGATGTTAGGAACTTATTGATTCTTATTAGAGACTGCTAATGATCAGATGGACTACCTTGATTTCTTAAATTCATTAGTTATCTTGGCAAATGAATTTATCTCTTAGCACTTTATTGTTGTTTCATAAGAATATCTTAGCTATATGGAGTTCCATATGTTTGTTGAATTCAATTAGAAGAACTGCTTGATTTAGTATATAATACTGATCAAACTTGTATGTCTATAAATTTTATTTGATTCTAGGAAATTTTTGGAAATTTGGGACAAATTAGAACAATAATGGCATCTAGTAAATGATTTACATTGGAATTCCTGTTTTGGTTTCTTTCTGGTATTTCTCTTCAAAAGGACTGTGTGTGTGTGTGTGTGTGTGTGTGTGTGTGTGTGTGTGTGTTAAAGAAAATCCACACCTATTTAGGACACACCAGGTTGGAAGAGAAAAAGAAGGTATGTTCTATGAAATCCCCAAGACCTGGATTAAATCTTAACTTCCCTTACTGTGTGACCTGAATAACTTCTTTGAGTCTCAGTTTCCTTTTTCTGTACAATGGGGTAAGCATTTACTTCACAGGGTTCTTGTTTAGTTAACCTGAGGAAGAGAGAGAAATCATCATCCCCTTGGTATGTTTTGCTTCAGGTTCGCTGGTGACAGAGTTAAATTAATGTATAAATCAGAGAATGGATTATGAGGGGATTTTGGTAACAGTCAAAACATTCAAAGTCTGATAACAATATGGATTGCAGTTTGCAATTTAAAGCAATACAATTTCCACTTAAAAGGCCTTATATTATATATTGATATGGATTTTCTAATGAGAACTACTCTGGAATTTGAAATTGGGGGACTAATATTTCTACTTAATGAATAATAGAGCAAATATGTGAGGGCATGTGTAGAATATGATTAAGCAACGTAAATGTAATGAAAAAATCTCCCCTAAATATTAAGGGTGGATAGTAGAAATAGTCTCAAAGAGATTATATTACTGAAGGGATTATATTTAATCTAGTTGCCAGATCCTATCACTTTATTACTTACTCAGATAACTGTCTTGATAACACTGCTTGTAGTTTCCAAGTCATAGCATTAGATATTCTGTACAGAAAAAAATATATAATTTCTTTCTGTTGAGCTATCTTTGGTCAATATTTAGCAAGATAAGTTACTTTGTATCTAGTTTCTAATTTTTCTAGTATCGAGTAAAATTGAATATGTAAAATAGATGAACTTCAACGGAATGATTTCTTTTGTGCTATTAAATGGGATTTAAGTTTTAAGTTTGTTCTTGGTCAAAACTGAATGACTCAAATTCAGGGTATTATGGATCTTGTTCTGTGTAAATAAGGAATTTTACTTTTATTGAGTAATGTAAGGAATTGTATTATTTCCATCTTTAGAAATAGCTAGTATTTCTTAGCTGGTAGATTAATCTTGGTTTGCTGACTTAACATATTTTAAAGCCCACATCCTTTTGGGGTTTACCGATAGGGAAAAGTTAGAATTAACTTGCAAAATTGTGGCTTCATATTGCCAAAAATGACCAGTTGGTTCAGATAATTTCCACCAGAAAAATCAGGAAAATTATTTCCACCATATCTTTTGAATTGATGCTGTGTGGGGGCTTTCCTAGTTAAATTCAGCCTAGAAAGAAAAGGAGTGATTAGTTAGCTCATTAAAAAAAATTATTTTTGGTGGTGTAGGCTGTCCTATTAAACTCTTAGTCTGAATTATTTTAATCACCTGCTGTTGGTGGTTCTTCGTCTTTTAAATCACAATCCTTTTTTTTTAAAAAAAGATACTAATTCTCCAGAAAAATGTAGCTATGCAAATACTTATGAGGATTTCCAAATAATTTTAGAGGATTCACAGACTCCTCAAAGCTCATATAAAAAGATGCTGGGAGACTCAGATAAGCGGAATATCCATCTAAGAATATAAGGGTGGCAGAGAAATCAGTGTTAGCTCAAAACTTAACTTTTCCCTGGCACATTTATTTACTCAATCTGTACTTATTGAGCACCTACTGTGTTCCCAGGCTTCTTGCAGTGAACAAGGCAGAGATGAGCCTCGAGCTCCCAGAGTTTGTGTTCTGGGGGATGTTGATTGTGAAGGTGGAAGAGTGGTCTTGACCCTCAGAATGAGCTCTTGCTGGCACTACGCAGCTCCTTTTTCTTCAGGAACCAGAGTCGATTTTGATTAATTGACCTGACAGTGCATGGCACATCATATTTACTGGGGAGGACTTAATAGCCCCAGAGACTCCCAAAGGAAACACGAAAATTTCCACATACTATTATCCTAATGGGGTCACAGTAAGAGAAAGTACAAGCAAAGAGGTAAGGTTCTCACAGGTGGAGGAAGCTTGTGGTCCGTCACTAAATGCTGTTGAGTTTTCACCTGCTTTCACAGGGGAAAGGAAAGTCAGGTCATCCTCACCCAGAGCATAAAAGGAAAACATTTTATGGAAATTTATTGTCCTCTGAGGGACATAAGCAGTTTGTTTCTTGGGGGCGCATATTATTTATAGTTTAAAAATATGTATGTGGAAGCGATGTTTGTTTTTGTAAATTGTGGCAGGCAATATTTTCTGTATTTGGGAATTTTGAGAGGGAAGAGAATGATTAATCTAGAATATTCTATAAAGGTGGTTCTCTAAACGTCATCTAAGATCAGTAAAATTAGCATAAATCCCCTGGGAGTATGTTAGAAATGCAAATTCTCAGAGCCCACCCCAGACCTACAGATCAGAAACTGTGGAAGGGGACAGCTATCTGTGTGTTAACCAGTTCTTCAGATGACTGCGATGCTCTGAAAGTCTGAGAACCACTGCTCTACAATTAGGCACCAGTTATCGCTCTTTTAACTTGGCTCATATTTATCAAACACATACACATGCAAGTTGTATTGGGAGATTTGGAAGTTTATGATGCAATGCATGGCATATTTCTTTGCATGTTAATACTCTTAAAATATCCTCATATTTTAGGAAAACCTGTTTTCTTTTTTAAAGTTAATACTAAAATATCAAAAAATCAATCCTAAGATGTCCTAAAATAATGAGTTTATATGAAGTTAGACCATTTTCTATTAAATTAGATAACAACTGAAAAACCAAGTGCAATGTCTAACACACAGTAGATGCTGTGTATATTATAGTTCTATTTTGCTTTTATGCACAAACATTTACTCTTTAAAATTTGTCATGTGTATTAATTCACTCTCCTAATTTCATAGTGTTTGAATGGGAATAAAATGAAAAAGTATTAAATTATTAGAAAACTTAAAATTATATTTATGGGTTATTTTGGACATGCACCTTTTTGAGCAGGATACAATTTATCCTAAAGTAGAATGAAAGTTTAGATTTCCATAGGACAGAGCTAAGTCTGAGCTGAAGACAAAAGAGAAGGACATAGGAGACATTGCATTTCACATTGCTTCTAACACCACCTACATTTCCCCAGGTCCTACCTGACTGAGGGTGCAAATGCCTTACTTTGACATTGACATTAATTATCTATAACTTTCTGGCTTTCCTTTCTCATTTGCTGAGAGCACACATCAATCCCTTCCCTGGAGGAACCCCCAGTTATTCGGGGAGTTTTCAGAGCACATTTGGATGTGCTCTGGAGCAAGGATGCTCCGGTTCCCGTACTATACTTAGTGTCTATTGCCTGATAGCCTTCTGACAGCCCTCTGCCATTGCCCAAAGTCCAGGGCCTCTGGGTCAGGGCTGCTCTCCTGCCAGAACCTTGTGTCTGGTGCAACCTCAAACCTCAGAAGCTTCATAGGCCAACAGGTGCTCTGTCACAGCTCACAGACACCTCATTGTATCATTAACTCAAATTCCTATCTAATTTCCCAGCACCTTCTCCCCTTTTCTAGAACCCCCACACAAATTTGGAAGGTCTCCTTCCCAGACAAATTCAAGCTTTGATGGGGAGGAGGCCATAGCAGGGCTGGCTTTAGGAACTGACCTGTGCAGTTGCCCTAGGCCCTGCCCTCAGAAGGACCCTGTGTTTGGTTTTATGCTCTGTTGTTGCTCTCTTGAACACTGGGTCCCGCATTTTCATTCTGCACTGAGTTCCTCAAATGAGGCAGCAGTCCTGGGCAGCCACCCACCATTCAGAGGCCCAGACTCTGAGCTTCAGTTAAGGGACAGTTTACTAGATGATGCCTGCTTCTTCCTGAATTTATTCTTCAGATTTGTATTCACAGTTTTTAAATTCTCCTTAAAGCATGTCCCAGTGGCAATGAGATATTTAAACGTGATTTTTCTTAGAGGAGAGGTGGAGCCTGTACATTTATAGGAATCCTGCAATAGTTTACTATTATTGCCTTTTTAGATACTAAGTTGATTATTTATTTAAAATAACATATTTCCTGTTGCAAATGTTGCTGAAAAGTTTATCAGGAACCAAATTAAATGTGACTCATTCATTAGACATAAATTAAGTGACCCATTAAAGGCTAAGGATGAAGGTCATAAAAAATGGAGTAAGTACTGTCCCTGTTTTCTAAGAGCTCATTATGGACCTTGAATGACAGAAGCAGATTGCCATTATTTCTACCTGGGGGGCTTGAAGAGAGGGTAGCCGAAGAGATTAAATACCATTTAATAATATAATACCTCAAGGAGGGGCTTGGTGTCCATGAATGACATTGGGAATATACCTTAGACTAGGATCTGAATCATTATGGCTTGTTCAGACTTGAATTATGATTCACATTTTATCATTTTTTACCTCCACCTGTGCTCTTTCTTAGCCTCAGCACCCCAGTCGGATGAAGGCTCAGACATTGACTCTGAACCCGATTTGCCACTAAAGAGGAAACAGCGCAGGAGCCGAACCACCTTCACAGCAGAACAGCTGGAAGAATTGGAGCGTGCCTTTGAGAGAACCCACTACCCTGATATTTACACCCGGGAGGAGCTGGCACAGAGGGCAAAGCTCACCGAGGCCCGAGTGCAGGTACTGCCGTCGCCATGCCCTCGCCCTGCCTCAATCCAGGCAGGAAACAAAAAAGGGTCTTTTCTCCTTTTAAAGCAGATTTTAAATCAGGAAAATAGATATATTAGCAAAAGCAGTTTGTGAATTGTAGCCTAGAGCACTATCAAGTTCCCTCCTTTCTCTCTAATGTCTTCTTTATAGTTTGCCTTATCATGATAACAGCATCATGACCTCTTTTTTTCTTTTTATTTGAATTTGCCTGATTCACCCTCCTTCCCTCCCATCTCTTTTGTTTTAGGTATGTCTATTTAGCAGGATTTTAGAAAAAAAATTCTTAATAGGTAGGTGAGTCCAACTAAATTTGTGATGGATACATGTGACTTCTTTTCTGTTATATTGTTTGATAGAATTATTTTATAGATCACATTTTTAAATCTGATCTATTGAATTTACTTTCTTTAAATTCTTAGTGTTTTTTTGGTATTTATGAAAATGTGCATTTTTCTTTCAGAATTTGGTTATTATTACTATGAGAGTATGATTGTATTAGCTAAAACACACAGAAGTATGTCCGTTCATGTTTTCACACATCATTTCAGGAATCCTAATTATATACCAGTCATTATCTGGATTTTTGGGGTGGTACACAGATAATAGCAAAACAATTTGAGTGTTTTCTTTTTCTGTGCAAGTACTGTTCTAAGTGCTTTACATGAATTACCCCATTCACTCACCATTATAACCCTAGATTGGTACTATTATTATCCCCAAGTTATACACTTGTAAGTGATAGGTATTTGGGAGTTAGTGAAGCTGACCCATGAGTAGTCGAAAATCTGTATATAACTCTTGACTCCTGAAAAAATTAGTTGTCCCTCAATATCCATGGAGCATTGGTTCCAAAACACTCCACAGATACCACAATCCAAGGATATTCAAGTCCTCCACATCTGAGGACTCCCAACTGCGGATCGAAAACACTACAGGCATTTACGGAAAGAAATCTGCCTCTAAATGGACACATGCAGTTCAAACCTGTGTTGTTCAAGAGTCAGCTATACTCTGAACCCTCTGGAGAAGGCTTCTTTGGTGTATTACGTTTCTATTGAGTGATAGAATAATGTTTTCATCACTCATTAATGATGAACTTTCCCCTCATGGTAGTAAAGCACCATTTGAAAGATTACAAATGTCTTAGGGTATCCTGGAACTCTTTACTATCCCAGAAGTTAAGTTACCTTATTTGGAAATGTTATGTTATTCCCAGATACTTAACTTTCATAGTCAAAGTGAGTCTGGGAACTCAGCAGTGAACTAGTCAGCTGATATGGTCTCGAGTGATCAACACTTTCTCATATGTAGCTCATTCCCTCTGCTGTTACAGAATTTTACAGCAGTAACCTCTTCTAGGCTCAGAGCCCAGTCAGAGGGATTGTCTTATTCAGTTTGACTTTTCATATGATCATCATTGTGCTAAAAAAGTCGAGGAATGCTGAGGTGAATTAAGACAAGTCTTTTAAGGAGCTACAACCTAATATGGGCAATAAAGTAAACATACAAATAATTTTAAAAGTAAAGCAGATGCAATTAGTACCATAAGAAAGAGACAAAATGCAGTGGGAGGAGCTGAGAAGAGGAAAGGATGAGATCTTGTTGGAGTAAACAAGAGAGGCTCATGGAGAAGGGAGATTTAAGATGGACTTTTGAGGCGATAGTTATTCATTGGACAGGGCAGGTGGGGAGAACATACTAGTAAGAGGGAGTAATATGAGCAAAAGGAACAGAGAGTTGGAAGCACATGAGTTACATATCAGGCGACCTTTCATTTTCACTCATGTTGAGGGAACAGAGAATAGTTCATTTTGATTGGAGGGTAAGGAGTGGTCAGTGGCAGGAAGGAATATGGCTGGAAATCTATTCTGAGGACATCTTGTGGAAGGCCTGGGTTTCAGGCTAGGACACTCACACTTAATGTGACAGCTGGGGAGTCTGTGGGTATGAAACCATCAGTGGCAGTGTGAATGGAAAGGAAAGGATGGTGATGAAAGGTACTTAGAACTGAAATGTAGGGAACTGATTGTGATAGTGGAGGTGGGGGGAGTGAAGGTAAGAGTCACAGATACACCAGGTGTATAGTGTAGATTCCAGTTGGTATTATTCAGTCCCTCTACCTGTCACATTAGGATACAGAATTGCTTTCCAGAATTGACCACACATCATGATAATAGCTATACATAAGTATTACATCATTATATAATAATATACGGTATACCTAATATTACATGTACTAATGCCACAATTACTGTATATATCAAATATGTTTTGCTTTTAGTTCTAGGATTAAATAGTTACTCCTAGAATTACCCATTTCTGGGATTACCCAGTTTAAATGTGAAGGTCAGTTCATTCAGTCTCTGTTCTTTCAGCAACCTTTATTGAGTGCCCACTGTATAGGATTTGGTCCCTATACTCCATGGCTGGCCAAGCCCACATGCTGGGTCTGTCCTTAAGATAACTCAGACTCAAACAATAAATATTGATTTTTAAAGAAATCAAACAAAGAGAGTGATGAAAAACTGAAAAGAGCATTCAGCGTTGCTCTATTTCATTCTTGCCTTTGCTAAAGACGAGGATGGGGGACAGAATCAATCTCAAGCCCATGCGGCTTGGACAGAGCCTGGTGTTCTCATCTGGCTCAGTGAGTGTCAGAGAATAAGAATGGCCCATTAACTTCCAGAGGACATGGGATCAAACCAATAAAGAGTGGTTCATATTTTTCTATACAGTGACCTCTTCTCCGAAGCAGGGCCCTCATTAACTTAACAGCTGTCCTAATGTGGCTTTAACCCGGTGACTCTTTACATTCCTTATGGCTTCATTAGTTCCCTTGAGACACATCCCGTCCTGCACCACAGCTATGATCTACAGCCTAACAAATTCCCTACAACACCCGGCATATGGATCTTACTTAACCCAGCAGGAAAAAGAAGGGAGTAGTTAATCACTGATTAAAATGCCAGAACAAAATCCTGTAGTTTTTAGAAGGATCTGGGAAAGCAGTAGCAAAGTCAACTCAGTTTGAGTGATAGCCAGAAAGTGAGTTAGTTTAATTTGGGGCACCTGGGAAAACCAAACACCAAACCAACCCCCCTACCCCCCCAAAAAAACACACCAAAAAACCACACACAATAAAAAACCTAAAACCCGAACACTTCCTATTCCATTTATTTTCCTGAGGAAAAATATTTCTAACTTAAGCCTTTGTCAGTATTTCATAAAAATTTGTTTGGACAGTAGCTACATTGTATTTGTCATAGTCAAGTCTGAGTACACAATCTAAGAATTATACACCAAAAACTAATTTGCCTAATTTACTTCCTGGGTAGCTGTTAGTTTGGAAATAATAGAAAGCATTAACGTTTTGTGGGGGAGTATGTTGTGCAAATATTTATGATGTGCACAAGTTTTAGTAAATATTTCATCTGAGAACTCCATGAAGCAGGCAGGCATCATCCTTTACCACCAAGATAATAGCAGACAGGAAAGGAAGCTGCTTGTAGAAATAGCACTTAACAAGGAGTCAGAAGATGTGGGTTTTGGTCTCCGCTTGTCAAATGCGTTTTGTTGCGCAAGTCACTTAATTCTCCTATAATCCAGGTGTGCCTCAGGCTTTTTATTTATTTATTTTTTTTAAGTTTTGAAATTTGGAGTAGGTTAGATGAGATGGTCTTAGTCTGGGTCTGTGGACAACCAGGAAAATCTTGGATGATTTTTGGAGACTTGAGATTTGTACACAAAATGTTGTGCCTTTGCTTCTCTTTGCCTCTCTCTCTCTCTCTCTCTCTCTCTCTCTCTCTCTCTGTAGAGGGCATTAACTAGGGAGAGGGCTTCTGGCTTTTATCATATTCTCAAATACCACCTCCTACTGTTCCATTCCTCAATGAAGAACTATTAGGATGCATGATCTCTCAGGACCCTGCTAGCATCAGTAATTTGAGATTCTCAAGAAAGCCCAAAGGTGATTTAACACCATCTGACAGATCCGTGTAGTTAAGAAGTTAAGGTACATATGGAATAGTTGACCCTAAACTCCATAATGAAGCAAAAATATGGTCATCCTGCAATTTGCTGTAGGAGCTCACTCTTGGAATTATAAAGATGCAGTTTAGTATGCTTTCCTGTGTGTCTGTGGTCCTCTGGACACTCATGGAGCATGGGGTTCCTCCCTCAGCCTCTTGCTTATCCTCTCCCCAACCCATGGGACATACAGTGGTCAAAGTGGTCGGAGAGGGTGTGGTCTCAAAAGGGAGAGGGGGTGGAGTGAATGAGAAGGTCCGGGGAATGAGCAGTTTGTCCTGAATTCACCTACTTGGAAAGTCCTATATTTGGCATTGTAGCATTAGACATCACCAAATCCAATGTTTAATCAAGTTTTTTATAATCTTGTTATGAATTCTCTTTCTAAGGATTACATATTACATTCTTTTCTTTCCACATTTTTCCAAATTGCATGTGAAATAATCCATCTGGAATAATGTAAGTTAGATTGCCTTTGAGGTCCACACCAAAAATGTGAAGGAGTAATTTATGGATGGGCAAAATTAGGCTTACACCCTGGGACAATTAGCACTAATCCATGAAACTTGGAAACAAATTTGACCTACATCTCCATTCAAGCCCAACTGGCTTTCAGTGATTTGAGGTGTTATTTGGGCACTTTTCTGTTTGCTCATGAGCATAAAAAGCTTTGGCTGTAGACCATGGAGTTAAGGAAACAAAGCAAGGCTTTAATTCTTGGGTTTCTTAGAGGTGGCAATGAGACATTTTTACTTATTAGCTAACATTTGTTGAACACTTAATATCTCTTAGGTATTCTTTTAAGGTCTTTGATGGCAATGTTTCCTCTATGTATCACAGTAGTCTTATAAAATAATTTTTTTTTATTTCTCCCATTTAGCAGATTAGAGAAGAGTCTCATAGATATTAAACAAATTGTTCAAGGTCACAGAGGTAGTAATTCAGGCAGCTGCAAGTCAACTTTTGCATGGCTTGTGTTGCACCCATGTGAAAAAAAAGTATTACTATAGCTTTTAAAGTACTAAGTTTTCCCCAACTTATATGGTTGAGGGTCTGAACAAATTGGTTACTTATATTACTCATCAAGAGAAAAATGTATGAAAATCTTTTTCTTCTTTTGTAATTCATTACCCCCCACCCCCACAGTTACCATGATGTTATGGGGACCTTTTGGTTAATTTAAATTTTGCTTCAAAAAATCATTGGACCTTGTATTACTTCAGAAATGGATATAAAGATGATTTCCAAAAGGCACGCATATAGCTTTGTGGAAGGGCTCTGTAGAGGGACAGACAAGTAGGGAGAGATCCAGGGGCCAGATGAAAAATGAACCAAGCTTCAGGTCATCAAATGAAGTAAAAACTTCAAGGGGATGTCTTTCAGTTAAAGATGGGGTGATAACAGTCCCCCAGGATAATTGTGCTTGGCTGGTTTGGGTATGTAAAATGAGGGTTATTTCAAGGGCAACTTTTTCTCTCTGTTAAAAATAAAATATATGTCTTCTATGAGTTTCAAAGTATAAAGAAGGTAAAGACCACTTTCCAACTTGCAACTTCAGTATATTTTTCCTTTGATGATTCTTTTGGCAGACAGCTGGTTCTAGGAGAGGCAGAAGGCTAGTAATGGCAAGATGATGACAAATTTGGTTGAATGGCCAGAGTTAGGCCAACCCTCAGTAAGCCCTGCTTCATTCAGGACTAGCCTTCTGGATTTATTTAAATTTAAGTACATTTAAATTCTTCCCCTTAGGAAATTCTTGAGCCTCCTGTTGCAGGTTCATTTTTCAGTAAAGATTTTCTTCCCAACGATTTCTCTTAATCTTTTATTGTACTGTAAATATAAGAATTTAAAAACCCAGCTCTTAGTGGGTTTATTCAATGTCTTCAATATTTTTTGTATCATTTTAAACAAATGAAAACAAGATCCCAGAGACCTTAAATCCCTATTCTTTTGGATTCGATCTTTGAATGTATTTATGGAAATTATGGTGTTTCTTCTAATTTATTATTTGAGGAAAGACATTTTTTTTATTAAAAATTGGGTTAAGGAGGAGTTAGAATAAGCATAAATTAAAAGTAGGGTAAATTGCTGGAGTGATTAGGTATAACCATCCACTGCATAAATCACACTTGGTTTACTTATCTAAAGGTCACAGAAAGAAGTTGGCATAGAGAAATTGGCAACATTGCTCTGATAATGACAGAAGTGCAGGCTTCTGAGTTCTTTATGAAATATTTCATCAGCACAATTGAGACTAGTATGTCTGAATGAATGAAGTCACATCAGATGTAGGTTTGTCTAGATAGGTGTGTGTCTGTGGGCGGGGGTGGGGGGTGGGGGAAGGCACCACATCACCTGAGTCAGGTGGACTTGTTAATCTCAAAGGTTTACAATATAAAATAAAACCATGGTGCATGCTATAGTACAGTGCACTCAGGCATGACTATGCCCCTCATTTCTTACCCTCAGCCTCCTCAGGCTAACACAGCTTGTCCCAAACACTTCTTTGAAAACAGTTTTCTTACTCTGATGCCTCTGGGGGTCACAGCAACAGATCTGCAGTGAGAACACACAATTGACGCAGACCTCAAATTGAGTGCCGTTCATGGTCCTGTTATCCCAGGTTTAATTCAATTATGTATCAACAAGGGGAAATATTGACTTACCTTCTTTTTTGGTTGGAAACTTAAGGAGTATTAAATATTAGTGTTTTGAGGACGGTCACACAGCTCTCCTTAACAGTATCTTGCAACATGCCCAGAGGAGACTAAACTTTTTTTTTTCAGAGCTTGGGTAAGGATCAAAAGTTTAAGCAGATGCCTTGGCAAAATATTTGTTAAATTGGGCTTTCTTGCTCTAGAAAGGAGAAATTCCACCCGCCACTCTTTTTAAAAATTTACAACTTAAAAAAATGACAAGTTGTAAGGAAATCAGGTCTTATCTTTTCTTAGACGTGCTGTCTCCTGTATTATCACCTCCGTTTGGAGTCACCTCCTGTTGAAATCATACCCAAGCTTTAAAATGAATTGAAATTCTGTCTCCACTCTAATTTTCCAGAGTCTCTGTATTTGGAGCTTCTAGCTCTAGTGAGCAATTATTTTGGTTTCCTTGATAACTCCGAATTCCATAAGCACAACTCTATAAGCTAGTAGAGTGCAGGGATCCTATCTTTTCCTATCATCTCATTCACCCCTCCATCCCTCTGACCCCAGGCACAGTGCTTTCTCCATATTAAGTTTTCAATGAATATTTGATATAGGAATTAGCAAATATTTGGTTGCTAGAAATCCTCTCTCATTTTGGGGGTAGCACCACATGTACACTTGGAAAAATTAAAGTTCTACATTTGAACTCTGTAGGTGTAAGAGTTGGGCAAGATCCGGGGCCCATTAATAATTTCTCAATATTTTAGATGTTCAGTTACATTTCTTCCTCCTATTATTGCCATTTCTCTCTAGCTGCTCATACAAAGTATTTGGCCGTTAATTTTCTCAAAGGCATTTTATTTTATTACATTAAGTTTTTCTGAATGTACCTGGTTAGCATAGTGCCTGGCATAGAGTATTAAGGTGCTTAAAGCTGTTGTTGAAAGAAATAATAAAGTAAGTACTATTTAATGGATCTCCTTAGATAACATGCTCTCATTTCTTGAAATACTTACCACTTCAGCATTTATTTCCTCTAAGATCAGGACAATGTCTCACTCATTGAAAGGGATGGTAAGATGGCTCCATTAATTCCCTTGGTCAATTTATGACTGTCCAGGAGCTATGGCCATAATGACCATAGAAATACAGAGACAGACTGATAAGAATATAAAACACAAGGGTTAGTGTAATAGGCAGGTCTAAATTAGGACATGTGTAGTGGGGGAGTCAGAGGCTCATGGATCCTCCCTAGAATCCATGAAGATGGGAGGGTATTGGGGGTGACATTGGGGGGGTTTCTGTTGTTCTGACTCCAGCTCAGCCATTCCTACCCATGCTCATCACTGGATTTTGGGGGCTCTGCAAGACCACGGAATGCCCTCGAAGCCCCTCTGTGACCCCTGACATTCAACTCTCCGTTCTCCCCTGACAACACAACCCAGAGGGTGGAGAGCTCTTACTTCTTTTTGCCCTGTCAGTAAGGGGCCTTTAATCTGTTTTAGCATGAAAAATTCATTAAGAATGTAGTCTTATTTCATCAGCGAAGCCCTCAAATTTTAAATTAAATCCATAGGTCTGGTTTAGCAACCGCCGTGCAAGATGGAGGAAGCAAGCTGGGGCCAATCAACTGATGGCTTTCAACCATCTCATTCCGGGGGGATTCCCTCCCACCGCCATGCCCACCTTGCCAACATACCAGCTGTCGGAGACCTCGTACCAGCCCACTGCTATTCCACAAGGTATGGAGGAGTCAAGACGGTAGAATGTACCTCCTGATAGCTCTCCCTGCTGCTGATTCGGAGGAAGCCTTGGTGACACTGTTGCCGCTTGCATGTTAATGACATTACATCAGGTTGTCCCGAATGTCCCAGTCACATTTCAGAAACACAGTTTGTTTTGGGACATATCTGAATCTCTCTAGATAAATTGTGTTGTAATATTATCCCATTTCAGTATTTGAAAACAAAACAAAAACAATGAAACCAAACAACTTTTCTTTAAAAAAAATTGCGATTTGCTTTTCTTTTGTTACAAATTTTACCTCTACAATTGTACTCCAGTGTGAAATTCACTGAAGTTCCACGATGGGTACCAAGTACAGGGGTCATTGAGGGAAGGTAAACTTTGATAAAGGCACTGTTTGTTGGCACACAGAGGTGAATGGGATAAATAAGACGAAGTTATTTTGGATTATGAAAGATAGCATTCTAGGCGGTCGAAACTATACTATTGCACTAATACTGAGATGCTTTGAAAGTATATTTGCTAAAGAAATTTGAGACTTGCAACTCTTACATCGGTTAATTCTTATGTTGATTAATAACATTCGCTACCCACATAGGTTTGCTAGCCTTGTTAATGTGGTTTCTGAATTCCTATTCTGGGTGAGTTTGCCATGAAAGTATATAAATCAGTTATGTACTTGCACATATGTGCGGAGGTATTCCCATGTTAAGAAATGGGATGGGTGGGTGCAGAGTGGAGGGGGTCAATGGGAAAAAAAGGGGACATCTGTAATACTTTCAACAACAAAGGTACATTTAAAGAATAAAAAAATAGAAATGCAGTTGGAAGTGAACATGTGGCCTGATGGCGTGGTGCCGGTGAGCTTTGGCACTGCACTTCCTACAAGGAAACTTGGTGGCTGACCATCTTCTTCATTGCAGCCGTGTCAGACCCCAGCAGCACCGTGCACAGACCTCAGCCGCTCCCCCCGAGCACCGTACACCAAAGCACTCTTCCTTCGAACCCGGACAGCAGCTCTGCCTACTGTCTCCCCAGCACCAGGCATGGATTTTCCAGCTACACAGACAGCTTTGTGCCTCCGTCCGGACCCTCCAACCCCATGAACCCCGCCATTGGCAATGGCCTTTCACCTCAGGTCAGTCCCGTGTTTCCAGACAGATGATTTGCTGTATACCAGAACCAAACAGTCAATTCCCCCAGGCAGCGGTATAATGAATTGCCAAATTTAAACCATAATGTATTCCTTATATGAGCCACATGATTTCAGTTTCCTAGCTTCCTTTCTCTCCAGCCTTCCTATGGGGCTGTATCAAAAGTTGCAGCTTAAACTTAAAATTCAAGTGATTCCTAATGGAATCAGGGAGATTTCCGTTTAGACGTAGTTGTCAAGGTGTTTGTCGTTTCTACTCCTAGTTCTGGTCTTTGGGTAAGAAACTCTCACAGACTTAAAAACATGGTATTTGGTCAGCTGAGAGAGTTGTGAACCAAAGCAACTAATAAAGCACCAGATTTTATAAAACAATTGGGAGGAAGCAAACAAGTTGTGTGAGGAGAGACCCAGCTGATGACTACAGAACTCTGGTGTAAATGAGTCATAAATGCCTGAATTAGGAGAATTACTGCTCCTTGGGAATATAGAGATATTTGAATATTGTAATTGTTTTTCTAATTTGCATTGGACTATGAGCTTTTCTTGAAAGATCATATTAATAAATTGCCTTATAATTGCATGTCAGAGGGTTGGTTAAATTTCCTACATGTGGCATCTGTCTGGGATTGACATTATTAGCAGTTGTTTAAATACAGATCGCTTGATTTTATTAGAGAGCTCTGGCCCAGGTGGTGAGGAGAGCTGCCCACTAAACTTGGAGAAATGTCACAAAGGGGTGGCAATCTATAATTGCGATCGAGAATCTCTTCGGGGCTGAGAGTGAGAGTTTTAACAGCTTTATCTTTCCTTAACCGCCTCTTTCCTCTTGGTGGTTAGAAAAACAGAGAAAAGCTCAGAATGACACAAATGAAAAGTGAAAAGACAATTATAGTCAATTACACACTAATCAGTGACTATCACCGCTGCCGAAGCACCAAGAGGGCATTCTAATAGGCAGAAAATGAGATTTTAATGGCACAAAGGGTGGCCAAAATAACGACTCATATATCTTTGCCTTCTTCGTTCTCTTCAACTTGTGGTTTGCGTCTTGGGAGTGGAGTTCCTGGGCTCTGCACAACAGTGATAACTCTGAGCAGCTAAAAAGTTCAAAGCCGTTGGAGTTGAAAAGAATGAATAGTAAAGGCAATGAAATAAACATTTCTGCCTAAAGGCATAAATCCATAAATCCTTTTTTGTAACAGTAAATGTAATTAAGTTTCATAGATTCCTATAGCACATTCTGGGATAAAAAAAAAGAAAAAAAGAAAAAAAAAGAGGTGGATTTAAACCTCAGCTGAAAATAACATGAAAACAATAAATGTGCTTCCTACTGAACTTTAGTGCATTTAATTTCCAAGTGCTGGCATTTATAAATGTGATTCTGCATGAACATCTTGGACTTATAGATGCATCATTAAATGCTCAAATTTATAGCATGTAAGCATCTTCCACAGTTTAGAAGTAACGTCAGAGTTATCTCTGCAGTTTTAATATAAGTGGTTTTGGGCCATGGAAAAGCTTTTTATGAATGTGATTTGATTGAAAGTTTTAATAAAAATAAACTTTAAGCCTAACTACTTCTGGAAGGTGAGACCCAGGATTGTCTCAGTATTTTTTAGTGTTCAACCATAGTAAATACAAGGACAGAAATCTCTATTCTACCCGTGAAACTGCTAGCTTTTCATAAGTGTGTCACCTTGCATTTTCTAAGAAGGGTATTTTATTGCATTATATAAGCATTACAAAAGTGGAATTATTAGCACTTGACCTTGAAACTGTTAATCCTTGATTTTCAAGAAGCCTGGCTATGATTCCGGACTTGGCAGTAGGGTGGGAATCGTTCCAATATCAAGCAGTGGAAAATTCCACAGGCAGTTTTTCCTGTATTTCTTTACTATACTCCTATATATTATGTTAATCCCTTCCTTAAAACATTGCAAATACTCAGGATATTTTGCATTTCTGCCATACATTTCTGTCTCAAACCACCAATGTGAATGCATGTTGTCTTAGTTCTGATAGCATCCCCAAAGAATTAGGAAAGTAATATGAAGCTTCTTATTTCCTCACACAAAACTGAAGAATGAAAGTCAACGTCTCATCAAACATCTTTGCAAAATGAGGGACTAGAAAACTTGGGCATTAGAACTCATATTTTTACAGCTTTTGGGATTTATCACTCCTCAGGAATACCTCTATTCAAGCAAGGGAGGGGGTATCCTTGTTTGTGGTTATCTGGCTTTATTAAAAATATTATGAAGAAAATTTGAAGACAAAAGCCCACGTCAAACAGCCTGGTTTACCTGTAAGCTAAAGTAGAGAAAGGGTGGTGACCCTTTAGTCTTATTGCTTATTTTATAGAAGAGCTTATTAATATATCAGACCATATAATATTAAAATAAAACTAATCTTATTATTAGCTTTCTTCTTTTCCTTTCACTCTTCCACTTCCTCTTCCTCTATCTGGACATCTAAGATGCAGACATATCCACTGGAGGTTCAGAGAGCTCATGGTCACTGATAGTGAGAGAATTGGGACTAGAACCTGGGATTCTTGGCTTCTGGTCTAGATCTTGTCCATTTTAGTCCATTCATGGTTGAATGGAGAGGAAACAGGTTTTATGAAAAATAAAGGCAGGGGTCTTCAGTCATATTTTAAAATCGTTTAGTAGAAACTAGCTTTCTAAACTTTTTGGGGTTCAAGTTAATTTACACTCTTTGTGCTAATACACTCCTTTTTATTTTTGCTTTACACATTTTTTTCTATCAATCTTTGAACTTCCACTAATAATTCAGTATGCTTATTGTAGAAAATGCAAATCTTTTTTCCCCCCAAGTTTCTTTAGAGTAGAAAACATTTACCCTGGGCAACCACTGCTAATATTTTTGCCTATTGCCTTCTAGCTCTTCCTTTTGGGTCTTATGCTCTTAAAAAATTATGCCTGAGATAGTGGTGAATATAACTTTGTATCTTGTCTTTTCTCTAGCTTTGCATTTCTTTATAGACCTTTCCCTACTTATGAATTTAAATGGAATTGGAGCTAAAGTTATTTGAGTCATTATGATCAATTCAGTGTAGGATATTTGATCTGTTAAAATACATGTGCCTTTTATTTGACTTTTTTCCTAGTGTCATTGAAATTGATGGGTCATTTGCCATTCATACTTGAAAATCATGAGTTAGAAGATGTGAAACTTGTTTGATGGGCTTTTTTGTTTCTTGTCAAGGGATTAATAGGTACCTTGTTTCTCTGTATGTGTTGACTGTAGTTGCTTTTTTGTGTGGGAGGGGTTGTTTCTAATCTATCTGTCCCCTCAAGCAAAGATTCTTCTAAAGCTTGGAATCAAAGTCATTATCCAAGTGTTTGTTGGATGCCCTCAGTTCTTCGCTCAGGGAAGGTCTCAGCTTCGAGAGGGGTGGGTTTGTGAAGCAGGGACTCAGAAGGCCACACCTGCCCAGATGCTGATGTTGTAGCAGCAATGGACTGACATGCACTTATGACATTATAAGCCTCAGAATATTGACCAAAATTCTTAGAAACTTTGTTCATATCTTTCCTCAAGTTCTGAAAGGGTCTGTGCATCACTGAATTGCTGGCAAGTTTATCTTGTTCTGAGGGAATCAGTAACTATATCTGGGAACAGTCCCACTTATCTTATGGAAAAACTGGAGGCCAATGCACACAATCACAGAAATGACAGGGGAGTTATCACCAGAGTTAAGAGCCAAACCCATCTCTCTTCCCCGTGTTACTAATTCTTCTATAAACGGAAACTGCGCACTTCACTTGCTGAGGAAGCACAACATCCCAGAACGTTTTCCACGGGCCCGCCCTGGCACTGATGCTCACCCTGATGTTCCCATAGGCATGGCTGAAAGGCTATGAATGGGAGTGTTCAGCCTCCCATTGCCTCAAAGACTGGATCTGTCCGGGAACTTGAGGCGAGGTTCTCAGTGATGGGTGAGGGAGAGGAGAAGCTAATGACCTCAACACTTTCTGCTGTCTCTGAATTGTATTTTGTTTGAACTACATAACCCATTTAGGAGATGGGGGCTTATATAAGGAAGGACAAAAAAACCTTCTGAGAAGAAAACCATTCAACTCACTCTAGAGAGGAATTTCCCCGCGGTACCTGCATTCTCTTGAAAGGTTGTGTTCTCTTGGTGCGAGACAATAGAGAAAGAACACAGGGAAACAGAGACAAAGTATTTCCCCTCTACACCCCGATGGAATGTTACCAGCACCTTCCTGCACGTGCAGGAGAGAAAAAGGAATGTTGACTTGGAAAAGGGAGGGCCAAGGAAATATTACCACATGCTCAAGACACAAGACTAATTAACATGCTCTTCTAATTAACTTCCTTTGTGAGAAACACTACCCTCACCCCCCCCCACTTCCAAAACACACACAGCCAAACCTGAGAAACAAAACCTATTACATTAACAACCTTTTATCGTTTCACACTCGACCCCCACCCCACTTCTCTCCACAGCGTTTGGTGACAGCTTCTAATGATTTCTTGAGTGACATACAGTATCAGTGGGTTACAGGGAAGCTTTTTAAAAAATGTTATGTAGCATAGAAAAATGGGCCACTAGGCTGCATTTAGGGTTCACCAACCATTGCAAATGATTCTTCAAATGTTTTGGGTTTGGTAAAACCTAAAACACATTTTGCCAAGTACTTTTCCTCCTTAATTTTTCAAACTGCGCATTTTAGGGAAAATTTGACCCATATGGTTTTGATTCATTTACTCATATCATTGACTTTTTTTCCCCCTTATGGAGCCATTTGATATCCAAGAAGCTTTCTGAGCCGTTCTTATGTTCATTTTAAGCATTTCCCTTCTTAAAAAGAGGAAGTCCTCTTTGCAGCCTCAGAGGCCATAAATTTCGAGTACTCTCTCAATTCAGCAATACTTAAGAATACATTTGGTATAAATCTGGATTATTATGAACACATTTTATGTTTAGAGCAGATGGG